TACAGTAAAACGATGGAGATCAAATTGCCTGGAAATTGTTTTATAACCCTTCCCACATTGATCGGCCGCAACAATTAATTCTTTACGACCAGTGCTGTTGTCTTTTCTCCCTGGCCTCATGTTAACACACATCTGAATGCTCCAGACCATCAAACTACCAAGATTTCTGCTTTTATAGAGGTGCTCACACTTGCTGATGGACAATTAATCAAGTGCATTTATTAGTGACTGTTACTTAATTCCTATGGAAGCAGTCGGGGTGTACTTGGTTTTTCACTCACTGCTCCTGCAGTGAGGTTTAGTGTTGGTTCAGTAAATAATGACACAGTGGAATATGTCATGTGTTGTTGTTTATCTGTGGTTTTATTTACATCATTTTAAGACCTGACTAAGATCACCCAGTTTTTTAACAAAGTTCTCATACTGTATATGAAACCTTATAATTCAAAGACTATATACCACGACTCTATGCACTGCTGCAGTGGTGAATACTCATTTTAAACTAATGCATATGAATCTAAATATCAGGTTCATACAAAGCTGTTCTAGTTGAGTCCAAGAATAATGTTATTGAATTTAAAAATGAGCAAACAGGTCCCGTTTAAGTCTAATTCAGGAAATAAAGCAAAGCAAGTGAGGAAAATTAAAAGGGAAAAGGTTGCAGACTGTGACACACAGTTTGACAGAAACTTTCAAACACAGAGGAAATAAACTTAATTAATACATTTAGGAGCAGAACAGTGAAGTGGATCTTTGCACTGTGCAGCTTTTCCCCTCTATCTGCTGCAGGAGATTTTGACCGCTCTCCAGTCCTTCTGTCATTGTAACATTGCTGCTGTTTTACCTGCTGCAAATCAATATGTTGGCCCGACTAACTGTTGCCAAGGCTTCGCTTGATCAATGGTCGGCCTTTATATCACGCGCACGCGCTCTCAGCTCAGCTGCTGAAATAACACAGACGGCAGCTGTTGTTCACCAGATCAATGCTCAGCTTTCTCGAATCAGACGAACACACAAATGTGCATTAGGGTGTGAGTGGGTAGAATTATGTTAAATTGATTTTGCAACTTGTTAACTGAACGCTGCAAAAAGAAAGGTCAGCCCGAGACCAGCTACCGAATCTTAACATTTTACTTTCTGAACTCCATGCTGGAAAAAAAGAAAGAATTGAATGTGTGAAAAATGTAAAAGATAGCACAGCCCTGACATATTATTTTTGTACAAACAAGGTGATTCTCAAAGAGCTGTTAGTTGAGACTTGATATATTGCAGCATGGTGTGTGTCCACTTAACACTGACCTGTGAATCATTCAAGCAAAAAAAAAAAAAATAAGGCACCTAACTCAACAGATGAATCAGTGTTCTGCCTGCACAGAACAAACAACTGAGCAAAGAGACAATTTTAAATTGGATCTTTAAGAACTTTGTTACTTGCAGCCTATCGCATGGCGTGCACTATGCGCTTAAAAAAAATTAAGGAAACTGGTCAAGTGAAGCACAAAAGAAGGCAGGCCTACAAACAGCTGATAAACAGTATCTTCAAGTCTCAGGTCTTAAACAAGACCTGAGAGATGCATCTGGACCTTCAGTGATCCACCTTCTGTTTGTCAAAGCCATCAGAAATGGCTCTCAGTGGAGGGGTGGCTATCAAAAAACCATTCTTAAGGAAGGGAAATAGGGAGAAAAGGCAGAGGTATGCTAAATTACAGAAGAACTGGACTGAAAATCAACAGAGTGATTCATCCAAAGTTGAAATATTTGGTTCAAATCGCCAGGTCAGGAGGGAGGTCCAACAGTGAGATCACAAACGTCTATAGCATGGAAAATAGGATGAAAACTCTGCGGTGGTTTTGAGCTGCATTAGAGCCAGTGGTGTTGGGGAGTTTGTTGCTGGATTTCAATCCATCATGCAATACCCTTTAGAAACTGTCGAGTTGGAAATGGCTTCACTTTCTTAGGATGACAATGATCCGAAACACGCTGTCAATGCAGTAAAAGTGGATAAAAGAACACACTATATAACACTATCGGTCATGGATTGGCCACCTCGGAGCCCAAACCTCAAAATTTGTGAAGCAGTTTGGGATGATCTTGACAGAGAACAGAACAAAAGGAAGCCAACATCTAAAGAACAGCTTTGAATCTCCTTAAAGACGCCTGGAGAAGGACAAAGGTGGTCATACTAAATCTTGACTTTCAAGCCCATTAGATTTGTCCGGTTTGCCTTATATACAGTATTTCCACAAATGTCTACACATGCTTCAATACATCAGAGCACCTGTTTCCCATTTTCTTTGCAAAATATCAAGAAATAATAGCTGCTACTTTATAGAGTACAATGTAGCCCAGATACCCACGTGACTGGGTTTAACTCATCAGAAGAAGAAAGTGGAGAAATAACATGGGATGCATTTTGCCTTGCGGTACATTCATTATGTAATAAGAGGACAGCAAAAACATTGTCACCACTCTATACTGAGTTTAAATTAATTGGCATCAAAGGTGAGAAACAGCAGCTGATTCTCTTAATGAGACTTTCATAATGAATGCTTAAACCAGACTGCACAAAGCACGCAGCACTCACATGGATCTGCATCCTTCAGAGTCTAATTAAAGAGAAGGATACAGAGCAGTTTCTTCAAATCTCCCCTTTCATATTAGCAGATACGCCGCGTGAGAGGCAGGCGCAGAAAGAGGGGAGAGAAAAAAGAGAATCATCCCAAGCGCCACATAATGAGCACAAACAACCTAACACGGGCATGTAATCATGTTACTGGAGCGCGGCCCCCGCTGCCATACAGTGATGAAAACTTTGTTTAGAGAAGTAATTTGTCTTGAAGCGCCGATTTTGGAGCGGGGATGTAATCGTCTTATCTCTTCTGTTTGTCTCTCTCTCCCTCGTCTTTCTGTCGCTCTGCCCCTCTCCTCCTCATGCAGCTTGTGTTCATCCTGACGTAGAAAAACAAAATGCTGCATAAATAAACACCTGCTGCGCATTGAGCTGCTAACATCAATGCCACAGACGTGCCAGTTACTCTGTTATATTGAGCACAAATTGACAGTGTGGGTGCAGTGAATTTGTGGGGGTAACATATCTGCATAATGTAGCAACTCTTGTAACCAGCATTCACTCTCAGTTCAGGACCACAAAACATTTAGCCCTCCAACGCTCCAGAGGTTTGTGTGGTTTTTAAAATGCTTGAAACATCTGTTTTAATGCTAATTGTCATTTAATATCAGATTATTTGTTTCTGTTAAACATTGCTTTAAAACCTTGGACGCCTCTTAGGAAAACTACCCTAACTTCGCTGAAGTCACAGAAGAATTTTTTTTGGTAAACTACTGTCGGTAAGTAAGCTAGAACTGAGCGTTAACTAGGTAACGGTTTTGTCATCACTTAATATTTATGGATACACTTATGTGTACATCTTATTATATTATTATTTAACAAAACTCCTTCTTCTTCAGCCATATTTTTGATTGTTATTTCAATGCATCCTACGGTGGCCCTGAGAGGTCAAACACACTGCAACTTAAGAAAACGCAAGCAGATAATAAAAGATAAAATAAATATATAAAATAGTAATAGAACACGACTGGAATAGAAAAAAAACGCTTCACAAAAAAACAAAACAAAACAATAAAAACACGCTACAAAACACAGCAGAAGTGTTTTTGTGGAGACAATAATGTTACAGAGCAGCTGCAGAAGTGACAAGCTAACAGTAAACGGCTAATAGCAAACATGTATCTACAGTATTATTACTGAGTCATGTGATTAAAACAACAAACATTATCCACATCTTTTTCTCCCTCACAACACCGATGAATCCTTCACTTTGTTTAAGTGTGTCATCATTCTAATGTTTCCATTTCTATCATTCTGCAGCTGGTCCGTCACATTATTGCTTCCCCCCAAAAACACTTCTGTTGAGTTTTGTAGGCTTTCTCAGCATTTTTCTATTTTCCTGTGTTTCTTTAAGTTGCAGTGCATTTGAACTCACGTTTCGAGCTTGTCGTGGTGACTTTACACTTAAAAGAAGCAATTTGTTGCAAATCTATGTTAAATAGTAGCACAGTAGTGCTATTTACATTTACTTTTAGCCAGAGTTTGGAGAGAATGGCTGAAGAACTGTTTATCTTCTCTTGAATATAATACACTTAAATACTTTTTGGCTTGTGGTGCTTGTACTCAAAATGAATGAGTTGCCCTAACTTAGTCACCATAAACGAGCTGTACTTAGTTATTCAAAAGAAACGAGTTTGCATAATTTTTTCAAGTTCTGGAAACTACTCGCGTTTTATACTGTAGTGCCCCCAAAAAACATAACTCATCAGCAATGTCTCACTGAAATTATGCCCGACTTATTCTTAAAATAAATAAATTTTTTAAAAAAAACATGAAATTGAAATTATTTGACATGTTATTCATGCCATGCTGGAATGAATCACTAGATTTCTCACTATTGTAATGCCTTCTTACAATCCAGAAAGCCTAGCTAGGACTCACACATATATTGTAATTTGCTAATAAATAACAAATGACTGAATCAAAAAAATTATTGTTATGTACACTGCAAAACACAATGGTTACACTGAGCAATGAAAGTACCGTATAAGTACTCTTCACGAATTAACAAACAAAGCTTACATTACATTAATATAAATAAATAACAAGCATTAAAAAATAAATTAAATAAATTAAATAAAGAATTGAGTCAAAATATAAAGTGTGTTAGTTCAGCACTATTACAATGATACAATATTGAGAATGCATTTTTATATAAAATTCCATTTTATTGTTTGCAAATTTGCCAATGCACAGGCCAATATTGTTCAGTATTTAGTCGGGGACTCAAGTTTCCGTCTCCTTCCTTCTTCTTCTCTC